CTCGAGGAGGAATGGGGCAGGCTGGGCTTCCCTGCCTTGTCCTGATGGTTTGTGACAAACTCGTGGTTGTGTCCTTTGCTCTCCTGGAAGTTTTTGCAGTTTGGCCATTCCCTTGCCCAAACACAAGCAGGGTACTCTCCCGTCCGTCGGCCTCTCCGATTGCTAGGCGCCGCCTGAACTCTCCTCTCAGCTCCGTCTGTTTTGTTTGCCCATCCCCACCCCCAGCAGAGACTGACCCCCTTTTCTGCCTCTTGCATCTCAGGACATCAACAAACGACTCTCCCTACCTGCTGACATCCGGCTGCCCGAGGGCTATCTGGAGAAGCTGACCCTCAATAGCCCGCTCTTTGACAAGCCCCTGAGCCGGCGCCTCCGCCGGGTCTCCCTGGTGAGGAGCTGTTTGCCAGGAACCCTTGGCCTGTGGGTGCTGGTCCCATCTCGGTCCTTCCCTGTCGCTCCTGTCCCTTCCCGCAGTCCCTGGGCTCCTTTGCATCTGCTTTTATCTGACCCCTCACCTTTTCTCTGTAGTCTGAAATTGGCTTTGGCAAGCTGGAGACGTACATGAAGCTGGACAAACTGGGGGAGGTGAGGAGATGGAGCAGAGTGGGGGGGGGAGCCTTGGGGAATGTGGGCCGGTGGCCTGACTGCCCTCTCCTCCGGTCCCCAGGGTACCTATGCCACTGTATATAAGGGGAAGAGCAAGTTGACAGACAACCTGGTGGCCCTGAAAGAGATCCGGCTGGAGCATGAGGAGGGTGCCCCCTGCACCGCCATTCGAGAAGGTGCTGGGAAAGGGCAAGGAGGGCAGGGTGGCAGGAAACGCAGTGCTGCAGTCCCGAGGACCTTGAACGCCGTGCCTCTCTTCCCCTCACATCCTCCCCTCACGTCTCCCCTGCAGTGTCGCTGCTGAAGGACCTGAAACACGCCAATATCGTCACCCTACATGACATCATTCACACAGACAAATCCCTGACTCTGGTCTTTGAGTATCTGGTAAGATAGGGGAGGCCCCAGGGCTTGGGAGAATCTGGTCAAAGTTCAGGGTAGCACAGGCTGATCCTCCCCTGTCTCCCCCCTCAGGACAAGGACCTGAAGCAGTACCTGGAAGACTGTGGGAATATCATCAACATGCATAACGTCAAGGTCTGTGGGAGGGAGACCTTGCCCCCCCCCCCCGCCCCCCGCCCCCCCGCCCCTGCAGCCAGGGCTCAGCCTTCAAGGCCACTCCTTGTCTCTGTCCCCCAGCTCTTCTTGTTTCAGCTGCTTCGGGGCCTGGCCTACTGTCACCGGCAGAAGGTGCTACACCGTGACCTCAAACCGCAGAACCTGCTGATCAATGAGCGTGGGGAGCTCAAGCTGGCCGACTTTGGTATGCTTGGCTCCGACCTTGGCCTGGGCTCAGGTCTCTTCCCC